CATTCAAATTTTTAAAAATTTGGGTTTATCTACATATTCTTTTTTTTTTTCTTTTTTTTTTTTTTTTTTGAGACGGAGTTTCGCTCTTGTTACCCAGGCTGGAGTGCAATGGCGCGATCTCGGCTCACCACAACCTCCGCCTCCTGGGTTCAGGCAATTCTCCTGCCTCAGCCTCCTGAGTAGTTGGGATTACAGGCACGCGCCACCATGCCCAGCTAATTTTTTGTGTTTTTAGTAGAGACAGGGTTTCACCACGTTGACCAGGATGGTCTCGATCTCTCGACCTCATGATCCACCCGCCTCGGCCTCTCAAAGTGCTGGGATTATAGGCGTGAGCCACCGCGCCCGGCCAGGTTTATCTACATATTCTGACTGCATATAAAATGGGAGATGGGGAAAAGGTTACAGATTTATAACCCTTTAAAAGTTTTAGTAATAGGCCGGGCGCGGTGGCTCAAGCCTGTAATCCCAGCACTTTGGGAGGCCGAGGCGGGTGGATCACGAGGTCAAGAGATCGAGACCATCCTGGTCAACATGGTGAAACCCTGTCTCTACCAAAAACACAAAAAAGTAGCTGGGCATGGTGGCACATGCCTGTAATCCGAGCTACTCGGGAGGCTGAGGCAGGAGAATTGCCTGAACCCAGGAGGCGGAGGTTGCGGTGAGCCGAGATCGCGCCATTGCACTCCAGCCTGGGTAACAAGAGTGAAACTCCATCTCAAAAAAAAAAAAAAGTTTTAGTCATAGAAGAATTATGTTAGGAAATGGCAAAAGTTAGAGCCACTAACTCAGAATTTTCAGACTCAATAGTCAGTCTTACCTGTGGTTTGGTTGATGTAATGAGTGAAGCAGGCAGTAATTCAGAAATGTTTTGTAACCACACTGGAGGCAAAGGAGAAAAACAGATGACATCAGATAGACCATGCTGATGCAGTGAAAAATACCCAAACCTGAGAGTGAAGGAGGAGAGATTTTAGTCTCACTTTAGTCCCAACCACTTATTAGCCAATACATCTGAGGTATTTACTTCATCTTTCTGAAACCATCTCGACTATAAAAGGGATATAATATTATCTGCCTTATCTACCGCATAGACTCTTGGGATAAACTAAATTTGTTTGTTTCATAAATATAGAGCATCTTCCATGGGACTGGCATTGCTCTAGACACCAGAGTCATGTCATGAACAAAATAGACAAAATCCTCACCTCCATGGAATCTGCATTCTAGTGGAAGGGAAGAGTGACAAAAACAAGAATAAATAAATAATTTCAAGAGTGATAAATGTTGTAAAGAAAAATAAGACAGGTTAGGGGGCTATAGAGTAATCAAAGAGGAGGTAACATTGGACAGGAACCTAAGTAAACTGAGAGAGAAAGCAATAGTAATCTGTGGAAAGGGCAATCCAGGCAGGAGAGACAGAGTGCTTTAAATTCCTGAGGTAGGAATGAACGGGGGATATCTGAGGAATGGCGGAGAGTGAGCAAGGAGAAGGAGTGATGGACGATGCTGGAGACACACGTCAGGCCCAGATCATGCAGATCTTTGCTGGCCATGGATTTTATGCATATCCCAGAAGACAATAGAAACACAAATATGCGAAGAGTAATACAAACAAATAGTAAATGAAAGAGCTGTAACATGGACTTAGGTGGCAATACAGGCACACTTGCTTCAAGAGCACAGGCTCTGGAGACTACCTGGGTTGGAATCTCAGAGGCACCTTGGAAATGATCTGTGTGATCGTTTGGTTGTGTTCCTACAAATCTCATCTTGGATTCCCACATGTTATGGGAGGGATCCTGTGGGAGGTAATTGAATCATGGGAGCAGATCTTTCTCGTGCTGTTCTCGTGATAGTGAATAAGTCTCAGGAGATCTGATGGTTTTAACAAGGGGAGTTTCCCTGCATATGCTCTATTCTCTTGTCTATTGCTGTGTGAGATGTGCCTTTCATCTTCTGCCATGATTGTGAGGTCTCCCCAGCCATGTGCAACTGTAAGTCCAGCAAACCTCTTTCTTTTGTATATTGCCTAGTCTTGGGTATGTCTTTATCAGCAGCTTGAAAATGGACTAATACACTATGTCATACCAAGTTTTCATTGTACAGTTGTCCCTCATGTCCATGGGGGATTGGTTCCAGGACCTTCTGTGATACCAAAATCTGCAGATGTTCAAGTCTCTGATTGAAAAAAAAAAAAAAGCACAACCTCCCATATACTTTATTTTTAACTTTCATTTTATTTTCTGAGACAGGGTATCACTCTGTTGCCCAGGCTGGAGTACAGTGGTGCCATCATGACTCACTGCAGCCTGGGTTCAAGTGATCCTCCTGCTGTGGCCTCCCAAAGCACTTGGATTACAGGCATGAGCTGCCATGCTTAGCTCTCATATATTTTAAATCATCTTGAGGGGACAAGTATAAGTAATCTTGAAATTACTTATCTCAAGATGAAAGGCACATCTCACATGGCAACAGGCAAGAGAAGAGAGCTTGTGCAGGGAAACTCCCTTTTTTAAAACCATTGGATCTCCTGAGACTTATTCACTCATATGAGAACAGCACAAGAAAGATCTGCCCTCATGATTCAAGTAATCTCAAGATTACTTATATTACCTAATATGCTGTGATGCTATCTGAATAGTTGTTATGCTGTATTGTTTAGGGAACAATGACAAAAACAAATGTCTGTACGTGTTTAGTACAGATGTAATTTTTTTGCAAATATTTTTTACCCAAGATTGGTTGAATCCATGGATGTAGAAACCATGAATACAAAGGGTCAACTGCATTTGTTAATTTTCAGGGGAAATGATTACAGTCACAGTAAAACCTAACACATACAGTAACATGGTGGTGCTACTTTGGCCAACTTTGTGTAATAAAAAGGCATCCTCTGTTTTCAACAGTGTAATGTGATTTCATATCCACAAATTTACCCTATCTTATATTTTCATAAGTTCGCCTTTACTTTCACAATATTTAGTAAAATCTTATTGTTTGAATGTAAGAAGAAAATTAGAGTAATATCTAATTAAAGCAAACCAGATTAAGAACAAAGCTATTCTAAATCCTAGCTGCCAACCAGCTATGCAGTCACCTACCTTAAATTGTTGTCTTAGAATTGAATAGCAGCCAAAACCAAATTATCTTCAAAGCTGGATTAAGATGCACACGGATAACAAAATGCTATTAAATAAGCCTTCCTGTATCAATAAATAGCTTGAAAGGAAAGAAGCAGATGAAAAATCCCTGGGAATTTATAAAAGCTTGGCAGAGATAGTTGTCATTTGGGTTATGCAAGGAACTATCCTGATAATAAATACACTGAAAAAGTCCTTGTGTAGAGCATATTTTACCAGCATTTTAAAAATATGTAAAAATGTTTTTTTTTTTATGTTTAACCTTTCTAAATATAGGGACCCAGTACCTTCAAAAGGCTATTTTTGGTGATAGTACAACATTCTGACACTTTTTACTAAGCAAAATTGACACATCTGTTGAAATTAACATTTGTATCTCCATGGACCGACATGTCAGTAAAAAATGTAAAATATCGCCATGTTTCCCTGCTAACCAGCATTTGGAAACAGAGGACTCTTCAAACCAAACTATTCCAGTCCTCCTTGAGAAAGGATTCAAGTATTTAGCACTGATCCCTGTCACCTCTGAATACTGTAAAACCTTGCACAGGGTAGACAAACTCAGCTCGAACTTAATGGAATAGACGTTTCTGTGGTTGGCCAAATCCCATCTGTTAGAATTGACATATACCTTGCGTCCTTGCATACCTTGACAATCCAGCAAGTTTGCTTTCTGTCCAGATCTAGTGAAAAGAGAGGAAGAGCAGCGTAACTGGACTGTTTTCTTTTTTTCTTTTTTCTTTTTTTTTTTTTTGAGACAGAGTTTCGCTCTTGTTACCCAGGCTGGAGTGCAATGGCACGATCTCGGCTCACCGCAACCTCCACCTCCTGGGTTCAAGCAATTCTCCTGCCTCAGCCTCCTGAGTAGCTGGGACTACAGGCACGCGCCACCATGCCCAGCTAATTTTTTGTATTTTTAGTAGAGACGGGGTTTCACCACATTGACCAGGATGGTCTCGATCTCTCGACCTCGTGATCCACCCGCCTCAGCCTCCCAAAGTGCTGGGATTACAGGCTTGAGCCACCGCGCCCGGCTGGACTGTTTTCTTACATCCAAACAAGAAAAAAATCCAAGGCACTGGAACCTATGCAGCCATTCTTCTTGTCCATCCATTCACATCCAGGTGAAACCCCGTCTCTACTAAAAATACAAAAAATTAGCTGGGCATGGTGGCGCGTGCCTGTAATCCCAGCTACTCAGGAGGCTGAGACAGGAGAATTGTCTGAACCCAGGAGGCGGAGGTTGCGGTGAGCCGAGATCGTGCCATTGCACTCCAGCCTGGGTAACAAGAGCGAAACTCCGCCTCAAAAAAAAAAAAAATTTGTTTTCCTTATGCTTATGTTTTCTTCCTGACCACTTTCAAGGTCAATGTGAGGTCACTGTCAAAACCCTGTAGGAAAAATGGGCAGCTCCATACAATGCAACAGTAACAGTGGCAAACAGGCTGGGCCCAGAACACACATCTGTAATTCCAGCTAATCAGGAGATTGGGGCAAGAGGATCGCTTCAGCCCAGGAGTTCATCCAGCCCGGGCAACACAGTAAGACTCTGCCTATAAAATAAATATATAAAAGTGGCAAGCAAAATAGAACTAGCCAGATACTGAAAACAAGTTAGTTAATGGAGTTGGGAACTGAATTTGGCAAGTGAGTTTCCTGCCACTCTTCCTGCTGTTCACGGTTGTTGTTTTTAGTAATAATAACTGTAGTGCCATTATCTAAGCTTAAGCTGCTGCCTGGAATTCCACTATGAGAGCTTTGTTTTCGTGAGTTAGCCCTTGTCCAGTGGTGGCCAGGTGTCCCTTGTGGGGCACAAACTTAACTCACTTTTTTCTTTGCTTCTGAGCAGTGTACCGTATCCACAGCGTCCTGCAAGGCTTCATCCCCGTCTTCCAGAAGTTCAGGCTGACAGGTAACTTTTAAAGTTTTCCTTTGTTCACTCTTTTTCTCCCTAGCAGGGTCTTCATTTAGAAAGAAGCTTAGCATACAGGAAAAAACACAGCCTGGAGGCAGAGGACCCTGGTTCTAGTCCTACCTCTGCCAATTTACTAGTTCTGTGACCCTGGATGAGCTGTGTAGCCTCAGTTTCCTCCCTCTGGAAAATGGGTGTAATACTTTCCTGCTGCACAAGGGTACAGTTTTTTTCAATGATGTTTCAGGGTGTTGTGAAGATCAAGTGGGGAATGGATGCAAAGGCCTGAAGTGTGAAACAGTAGAAAAATGAGATGGGTCTGGTTAGTCTTCATTCTCTTATAGAACTTGGCACTTCCCCAAACGCGATCTTCTCCATGGCTGTACTTGCCTACTCAGAGAGTTGGAGTGACTTGCCCACAGTCATACAGCTTGAGTGGCTTGGCTGGGCGAAAGCATGTTGTCTTTCTTGACTGACAGCTCTGTGCCCACCTTATGCCTCCGAATGGAGAAGCCAAGCGGCTGTGTGGCTGTGCTGGGAAATATCTGTCTCCTTTAATCCATGTAATGAAGAAAAACAAAAGTAGCTGCTATGACTGTGGGTCACTGAGACCCATGGCTTCTGGGGTGATTACATCATGCCAGCTGTGAGGGGTACTTGGGCATCTGAGGTGATGGTGGGGATGAAGCCTGACTGCTTTCAGAATCTCATCCCATCCTGTGGCCTTTGCCTTCCAGAATTCAGGAAGACTGACTGAGGCCACTGCCAGGTGGGCAGCAGAGGCAGGCCCCAGTGTGACCACCAATGCAACCCCTGAGCCCACAAGCACAGAGAAGTATTCTGAGAGACGTGCAGGAGACCAAGCCAGACCAATAAAGAGAACACCTTTCCTTCCATGAAGTCTGAACGTTGGCATCAGCCCTGGCAGGGGCATCATTTAGGCAGTACTGCTATGCAACCCAGCTGCCAGGATGGAAGGCAGAGGGTGGGTGTGGGGCCTGAGCCTTCACAGTACCTGGACCAGCAGGGAGATTCTGGAAGTTCACTGCTCTCAGAGGACAGCAGGAGACCCTGGGCTCTGCAAGCTGTGATCAATCTGTTTGGGCTCTTTTTTTTTTTTTTGAGACGGAGTCACCAGGCAGGGATGCAGTGGCATGATACTGGTTCACTGAAACCTCTGCCTCCTGGGTTCAAGCGATTCTCCTGCCTCAGCATCTTGAGACTACAGGCATGCACCACCATGCCTGGCTAATGTTTGCATTTTTAGTAGAGATGGGGTTTTACCATGTTGGCAGGATGATCTTGATCTCCTGATCTCGTGATCCACCCACCTCAGCCTCCCAAAGTGCTGGTATTATAGGCATGAGCCACCGCACCCAGCCCTGGGCTCATGGTTTTTATGAAATCCCAGACTATATGGGTGTGCTCTCAGGTGCTACAGAGAAATCCAGGAGGGACGAATAGTCCACTGCCCTGAGGCAGGGAGCCACCAGCCTGGGGCCCCCTGGTGAACCTGATGCAGGTAAGATGCTGGGGACTAAAACCATTTTTTTTTTTTTGCACCCAATAAAAAGGCAGGAAAATGATCATCATAAACAAAATGGCAGCCAGGCATGGGGGCTCACACCTGTTATCCTAGCACTTTGGAAGGCTCAGGCAAAGGGTCACTTGAAGCTGAGTTCAAGACCAGCCTGGGCAACATAGTGAGACTCCCTCCCCTCCCCCAACAATCTTTACAATTTTTTTTTTTTTTTTTTGAGATGGAGTTTCCCTCCTGTTATCCAGGCTGGAGTGTAATGGTGCGATCTCAGCTCACTGCAACCTCCGCCTCCTGGGTTCAGGCAATTCTCCTGCCTCAGCTTCCTGAGTAGCTGGGATTATAGGCACGCGCCACCATGCCCAGCTAATTTTTGTATTTTTAGTACAGACGGGTTTTCACCATGTTGACCAGGATGGTCTCGATCTCTTGACCTCGTGATCCACCCGCCTCGGCCTCCCAAAGTGCTGGGATTACAGGCTTGAGCCACCATGCCTGGCTTTACAATTTTTTTTTAATGACCAGATGTGGTGGCACATACCTGTACATACCTGTAGTTCCAGCTACTGAAGAGGCTGAGGCAGGAGGACTGCTTGAGCCCAGGAGTTCAGGGCTGCAATGAGGTATGATCAAGCCATTGCACTCCAGCCTGGGCGACAGAGCAAGACCCTTTCTCTCTAAAATAAATTTTTTTAAAAAAGGGCCGAACTGGCCGGGCGTGGTGGCTCATGCCTGTAATCCCAGCACTTTGGGAGGCTGAGGTGGGCAGATCACCTGAGGTCAGAAGTTTAAGAACAGCCTGACCAACATGGAGAACCCTCATCTCTACTAAAAATACAAAATAGGTGTGGTGGTGCATGCCTATAATCCCAGCTACTCCAGAGGCTGAGGCAGGAGAATCGCTTGAACCCGGGAGGCAGAGGTTGCGGTGAGCCGAGATTGAACTATTGCACTCCAGCCTGGGCAACAGGAGTGAAACTCCACCTCAAAAAAAAAAATTGACAAATAAAAATTGTGTATACTTATAGTGTACATGTTTTGAAGTATGTGGAATGGCTAAATCAAGCTAATTAACGTATGTATCACCTCACATACCCTTTTTATGATCTTCTGTATACTTGCAATGTATTAGATACTTGCAAGTATAAAAACCCACTTGTTTTTACTGTTTTGCAAGTATACAATACATTGTTATTAACTATGGTCACCATGCTATATGATAGATCTCCTGAACTTGGACTGAGTATTTGATGGTCACAGCTGTGCTGTCCTCAAAACTCAGAAAGGTAACTTTTGAGGTTTTGATTTCAAGTTCTTGTTTGTAACCTACTTTAAAGGGAGCCCAGAGTACACAGATCAAATATTTATTAAATATATAAATAAAACAGTTTTCACAATAGAAGTATGAACTTGCTGACTTGAGAACAATGTGGTTAGCCTCATTTTACGGGAATGATGGGTCCCTGTGGCCAGCTCTGCCACTGCCTGGCTGTAACTTTTTTTTTTTTTTTTTGAGACGGAGTTTCGCTCTTGTTACCCAGGCTGGAGTGCAATGGCGCGATCTCGGCTCACCGCAACCTCCGCCTCCTGGGTTCAGGCAATTCTCCTGCCTCAGCCTCCTGAGTAGCTGGGATTACAGGCACGCGCCACCATGCCCAGCTAAATTTTTGTGTTTTTAGTAGAGACGGGGTTTCACCATGTTGACCATGGATGGTCTCGATCTCTTGACCTCGTGATCCACCCGCCTCGGCCTCCCAAAGTGCTGTGATTACAGGCTTGAGCCACCGCGCCCGGCTTTTTTTTTTTTTTTTTTTTTAAGAGTTTTCCTGTTTCGCCCAGGCTGGAGTAAAGTGGTGAGATCTTGGCTTACTGCAACCTCCACCTCCAACGTTCAAGTGATTCTCCTGCCTCAGCCTCCTAAGTAGCTGGAGCTATAGGTGCCCACCACCATGCCCAGCTAATTTTTGTATTTTCAGTAGAGACGGGTTTTCACTATGTTGACCAGGCTGGTCTCAAACTCCTAACCTCAGGTGATCCACCTGCCTCAGCCTCCCAAAGTGCTGGTATTACAGGCTTGAGTCACTGCACCCAGCACTGGCTGTGATTTTGGTCAAGTCCTCCCCTCTCCCAGGCTCAGTGTCCTCATCTGTACAATGGGGAGCATAACAGTGCCCACCTCACAGTGTTATGTTGAGAATTGCATGTGATAATAAAGTCTTATGCACAGACTCTGGTACATAGGTGATGCTCAATCAGTGGGCATTATTACATCAGACAGGAGCACAAATCCTGTTAGGGTCAGGGGGGCAGGGTCAGCAAGATGCAGAAAAATGGGGGCTGGGTGCAGTGGCTCACACCTGTAATTACAGCACTTTGGAAGGCCAAGGTGGTGGATTGCTTGAGCTCAGGAGCTTGAGACCAGCCTGGGCAACATGGCAAAACCTGTCTCTACCAAAAATACAAAAAGTATCCGGGTATGGTGGCATGTACCTGTGAACATGTGAACTATCTGCTTGGGAGGCTGGAGTGGGAGGATCACTGGAGCCCAGGAAGTCAAGGCTTCAGTGAACCATGATCATGCCACTGCACTCCAGCCTGGGTGGCAGAGCGAGACGCTGTATCAAAAAAATTAAAATGAGGCCAGGCATGGTGGCTCATGCCTGTAATCCAAGCACTTTGGAGGCCAAGGCGAACGGATCACCTAAAGTCGGGAGTTCAAGACCAGCCTGACCAACATGGTGAAACCCCATCTTTATAAATATGTGTGTGTGTGTGTGTGTGTGTGTGTGTAAATGAAAAAAGTGGGGAGCAGGAAGAAGGGAACAGAAGAGCGAATGCCTGACCAAAGTGGGCAGCTGCTCTCTAGCAATTCCAGATGAGAACACAGCTGAGTGGGATCAGTCAGCCAAGAGAACAAAAACCACACCAGGTGCTTTAACAGAAGTTAGTAGAGGTGACGTGTTAACCAGGTGCAGGAGGACTGGAAAAGCAGAAAGGAACCGTGGTATCACAAAGCATAGCTGAGGGAACTGCCTAGGACTGGAGGGAAAAAGGAAAGGTTGACGCTATTAGAAGTGAAAAGATTGGCCAGGCTTGGTGGCTCACGGCTGTTATCCCATCACTTCGGGAGGCCAAGGCTGTCGGATCACGAGGTCAGGCGATCAAGACCATCCGGGCCAACATGGTGAAACCCCGTCTCTACTAAAAATACAAAAAAAATTAGCTGGGCATAGTGGCACACGCCTATAGTCCCAGCTACTTGGGAGGCTGAGGCAGGAGAATTGCTTGAACCCAGGAGGCGGAGATTGCAGTGAGCCAAGATCGTGCCACTGCACTACAGCCTGGGTAACAGTGCAAGACTCTGTCTCAAAACACACACACACACACACACACACACACACACACACACACACACACAGGTGAGAAGATTGAGAGCATGTCCTCCAGAGCTGGGACCCAGACCTCTGGGAAAAGGCACTGCTCAGCTGGGAGGGGGTCTCTGAGGGACCTGAAGAAGCTGGTTCTGCAAGTATAAGACCAATGGGGTCAGACCTCCAATTTCTTAGCAGAAGCTCCAAATCTAGGGGCAACTATTTTTTTTTTTTTTTCATTTCAACTTCTGCTATGGAAAACAGTATAGGGACTCCTCAAAGAACTAAAAATAGACTTACCATATGATCCAGCAGGTCTGCTTCTGCACATATGCCCACAAGGGACTTGAAGGGATAACTGTACACCCATTTTCACAGCAGCATTATTTCCAGTAGCCAAAAAGGGGAAGCTTGAATGTCCATCAGTGGGTGAGTGAATAAACAAAGCATGGTGTATCATCAGCTTTTAAAAAAGGAAATTGGCCGGGCGCAGTGGCTCACGCCTATAATCCCAGCACTTTGGGAGGCCGAGACGGGTGGATCACGAGGTCAAGAGATCGAGACCATCCTGGTCAACATGGTGAAACCCCGTCTCTACTAAAAATACAAAACATTAGCTGGGCATGGTGGCACACGCCTGTAGTCCCAGCTACTTGGGAGGCTGAGGCAGGAATATTGCTTGAACCCAGGAGACAGAGGTTGTGGTGAGCCGAGATCGCGCCATTGCACTCCAGCCTGGGTAACAAGAATGAAACTCCGTCTCAAAAAAAAATAATCTCTCTCGGCTGGGCGTGGTGGCTCAAGCCTGTAATCCCAACACTTTGGGAGGCCAAGGCGGGTGGATCACCTGAGGTCAGGAATTCAAGACCAGCCTGACCAATATGATGAAACCCCATCCCTACTAAAAATACAAAAATTAGCCAGGTGTGGTGGCATGTGCCTGTAATCCCAGCTACTAGGGAGGCTGAGACAGGAGAATCGCTTGAAC